CTTCTTTTCTAGTTTCTATCATATTCCAATTTTCCTCAGAAGACATTGAATTTCAACGAGAAACTAAACTCATGTTCAAATATTGTTAGGAGACAACATCTGTTCATTTACTTCTTCTCATAGTTATATAAAACCAAGAATATAGGAAATAATTAAAGTGCACATCTTTGCCTTTATGCACAAATAACTTTTTTCATTGAAAAGAAAACTGAAGTAGTGCAATGCTTGAATGCACTTGGGAAGAAAATAATAATAATCTTATCCATCCAAGGAAAACTTACTACTAAAAAATATACTCGAACATACTAAAGTAGTACTAATTCATCCCAAATCTCTTTTTATCATATGATAAAATAATTCTCTTTTTTCATCTTGTTCTTTCCCCAATAAAAAGAACACAGAAAATAGAAGTTAATTTCCTTACCACAGAAAATACCATCATTAAATTTCTTAAGCTTATTATCTCCTGTATTCAGATTAGCAAACCAGAAATAATAAAAGATGAAAAGAAAAATACAAAAAACTATCCGAGTCCACAGAACCCATTGTGTGTCCTTAAGAAATTTAATCCCCTCAAGTACCTGAGGTTGCAGATTAATTCGTCCCAAGATAAAACGGATTAACCATTAAAGAAGTAGCGGTACCTCAAACTTCGATAATTTCAACGAACTCAAAATGACATCAACAAATCATACACACACAGACACGATCAATCGATTTTATATTTGTAAGAAATGTATGCAAAAGAAGGAATGAATTCTATCCAGAAAAATGAGAGAAAACCTCTCTATTTATAGCCAACAAAGGGTAAAGGTCACAACCCTTTGGAAAGAAGAAAACCTTTCAGAAAGAAGATAACCTTTCAGAAAGGTCACAACACTTGGGAAAAGGCATAACCTTCCTTTGGAAAGAAGACAACACTTTGGAAAAGGCATAACCTTTCAAACGGTCACAACCCTTTAGAAAGGACACAACCTTTCATAAAGTTCACAACCCTTCGGCATAGTCACAACTCTTCAGGAGAGTCACAACCCTTCATTTCCTATTCACACCTTTAAAACCCAACAGGAATTATAATACAAAGATTATATAATGACGAAATTATTTAGTTGATATGTATGTTTATTCAGTGGCGGAGCGAGAAATTCCGTCAAGGGTGTTCAAATTTTAAAAGAGTCGATGATTTTTTTTTTAGCGGAGTCTTTCAATACATGATTAGAAAAAAATAAACTAAAGGAAAAAAAGAATTAGAAATACCTTTTCACACTTCAATGATGGTTGAGGAAGAAATATACAAGGATTAAAGCTTTCAATTTCTTAAAACTTGCAAATATGTATGAAAATTGAGAAGAGAGAAAGGTAAAGAGTAAAGTTGTAAAGGGTTTTTGGGAGAAGGAGAAGACAAAAAACTAAAAGGAAAAGACAAATAACTATGAATCTATTCTTTTTTTAAATTAAGAAAAGTCAAAAGAAGACCTTTTGTTTTGCTTAACTTAAAAAAGGTCACTTTTGTACTCTTTTTTTAAGAGAAAAATGGAACAAAAATAAAATAAATGAAACGCTCAAGCCTGGGCTCGAACCCAGGCCACAAAAGCCTGAATTTTGCCTTTTTCAAGAGAAAAAACAAAATAACAAAAAAAAAAGAAACAAAACGCCTACACTTGGGCTCAAACCGAGAACACTGAGGCGGATTTGCACAGCCTTAACCACTGGGTTGTCTACCTTTATTGTGTTAAGGGTGTTCAACAGTTAGTATATATTCAAAAATATTGATATTTAGTATATATACTCGTTAAAATTTTCATCTGACCACCCTCGCCAAGTCATAGCTCTGCCCCTGTGTTTATTAATAGATGTTTAGTTTATTGGACAGCTAAAATGAGGTAAATATAGGACCGGGGAGACTTTAGGTCATTGGATGGGGTTTTCAAGAACTAGTAACCTCATGCACAAATTATATATTTGTATTGAAAAATTCAGTAAATATAAAAGAAAAATGACTTGAAAATCTACTAACAAAGTGTGTTGTTTAGCCTAGTATCGAAAAAGTACTTTTTAATTTTTCCTACCCTCTTGGTCAAGGGTTTAATCCCTTTGTCTCATGCATGACTTTATTTTGTATTTCACTTTGGATAAAAAAATTGGACGATAACAACTTATATCACCAAGCAAATGCTATAGGATATTTTTGATGTTTATTCGATGTGAATTTTAAATATTTTAAATTATAATGTTGAAATTATTATACACAAGTTTGTATTACTTTTATTTGATATGAATTTAAATTTGTGAAGCTTATTAATATAAATTTCTTTAGTGAAATTTAATTTGCTTTAAATATGTTATTTAGTAAATTTACTTACTATTTTGAAGGGCTGATGTAAATCAAATTTCACATTTATTATTAAAATAATAGTAATAATTTTGTAAGACTCTACAAATCAAATTATATATGTAAATATTAATCTCGACAGTTTTAAAGTCACACACATTTAATTTTTTAGAATATTGAGATCATATATATTGTGAAGATTTAAACTGTCACAAACTGATACTAAAAAATTTCCACAAATTCAAAAGTCATTTTCTGAGGTGCGTTGTGGAGGTTTACTAAAATCACTGCAAATATGCTCGTGGGAAGGATAATTATAGCATTTTTAAAAATCACCGCAATTTAATCTGTGAGATCCCTAAACTGCCATAAATTGACAACATAACCTCCATAAATTGAGCTTTTATTTTTTGCAATGCCACAACCATTAAATCTTAGATTTTTCTCGAGATATATATTGATATTAAGGGTGTTCATGGTTCGATTTTCCCTAGAAGAAAACCAAACCAAGTAAGTCAATTTTTCAAATGTTGGAACCAAACCAGACCAGTTAAGTCGGATTTTCATCTCTTTGGTTTTTGTCGGTTTCTAACATAACCTACTAATTTCAATTGTTGGTTTGCTTTTCATGACTTGACACAAACTTTAAGAAAGTAATAAAGACTTTTAAATTATGTGGTATTAAATTAAAGATATATAGGATGTACCAAATTACTTTTTAATCTTGTGATATAAACATATAATATGGAAAGTTGAAATTAAATAGTTGTCAAAAGAGAAAAAGACATACTTTTTAAAATAGCGAGAGTACTTTTTAAGAAAATAAAAATAAACATATATTTAGCTAAACCATCCGCACAAGCTTTCACCTACGCGATTAGTGGCAAATCCAAAATTTTAAGGTCGTGGATGCTCCCTTAACTTCCATTCACAAAATAGAATATAAATTTATGACTCGTAAAAAAGACAATCATATTTAAGCGCAATAGGCTAAGAAAGTAAGAAGAAAAGAGCTAGTCTTTAAATTCTAAAAATGCCTCCAAAGGGGATCGAACCGGGGGACAAAACAAAAACACCCACATATGACCAATAGGAAAATTCACCACTTATTATATGAGTGTTCACTCTTTAATTTTATCACATTACTTGAGATTTCTATATAAATATAGTTAGTTTGATACGAAATTAATGGGTGCTCGAACACCTGGAAAACTCAACGTAGATCCACCCGTATACGCGATAATAGGGAATTTGGCATAGAGATCCTTATCTAATTATATATATAGCATAAAAAATAATTACAAAACAAAAGGAAGAGACACAAAATCAAGACATCCAAGAAAAATAATTACGCCTATGTATGAACATGAAAGATGCATGGGTACATGAAAGAAACCTATGGAGGCCAATGTTCCCTCCTTGTGCCCAAACTTGAAACTAAACTCATGTAATCTCCATATCACACAAAAGAAAATTCAAACCAATGAAATACATTCAGTCAATATGTTTGTAATAAGGCTAGTCTTTATTTTATTATGATATAAACACAATTAGTTCAAATTGTTTACGGGTGAAGAAAGTTTTAGTGACCTTCCAATTTTGGGATTATTTGTTGAAGTAGTATCCTAAATTCAATATTTTTACAAATTTATCAACTGCGACACAACTTCAAACACATGACACTGAAGTCACAAAATTTAATTTGAAGCTGAAAAATAATAACATATGATTGAAGTGCACCTATTTTTGTCCGGACTTCAAGCGCACGTGCCACAGTGCATGCACAAAATTGGTAGCACTTTAGTCATGTGCATCTTAATTGCAGTCGTTTTTTGATAGCTTTTTAAAAATAATTGAAAAATGATTTTATAAGTAAATATAAAATATCCTTAAAGCTATTTACAAAAAATATAAATTCAAATATATGTGTTAAAATTGTAAGTATGGCTGATCAACTAGTGACTTTTAGCGCTTATAAATATTTTTATTGTTACGAAACACGTAAATATAAAGAGAAAAAAAGTGACTATTAATTAGGTCGACCAATTTATAAACACCCTCTAATTAACATGAGAATATGGAAGGAGAGATAGAAATTTAAAATTTGTTCCTAAGGTGAAAATTGTCCAAAATCATGATATAATCAATGTGGAAAACTTTACGCTCCCATTATTACGTAGTACTCCTACTATATATCTGGAGCATGCAACAACTATAATAGAAATGAGTTTCTCTAATATCATGTTAAAAAAATGGACCTTTGACTTAACTTAAATACGACAGATTTTAGCTTATGAGGTAAAAATAGTCCAAAATCATAAGTATATATATTTAAGGAGAGATTAACAACCTATATCATTTACTAAAATATAGATAACACTTGACAAAATATATCATGTTGAGCAACATATATACATGGGAGATCACACCACTAGAAAACATGGAATTATTAGAGTCGGATAAATTTTCGTAGCTAAACAATAAAAATTTCATGCTAATTTTATTTAGCTACTGATTAATGACGAATTACAAAAAAGAATTCAACTGGCTAAAAGCTTTTTACCGACGAATTAGCTAGAGATTACTGATAAATTCCGTAGCTAATTTCATATTTTCTCGTAGCGGAAGAGGAAGAAGATGGACTAACATGACAAAGAAGAGCTTGTCAAGTCGCCAAGGATGCTTGCCACTCATTTTCCCAATACCATAAAAAGGATTTTAATTAATTTCCTTTTTACAAGGCATTGATGAAAGGCAAGTCATCCTTGGCTACTAAACAAATAGAGACTCTTCTAATTCATGTAAGGCCTCTCCTCCTAATTTACTTGGCCATATTTTTTTCTATGCTTAATTATTTTATGGATATATAATATGCTTCTTGGTTCAGTATTTATAGTTATGAAAATATTATTCTTGCTAAAATTCAAATGTTTGACCCTATAGCTAAATTATATTGTTCCTTTCATGAAATAATTTTGTTCTTCTCTTATCTACATAATGGTTCGAATATGTTCCTCTTAAGGATCAAGAAGAGCCCTTCTTTTCTTTGCATAGACATATATTCTTCATTTGAAAGATTAACATAGAATGTCAACTAAAATATAATCATATATTGTCTGATAGTGATATTATTTAGCAGTCAAAAATTTTAAAAAGAAAAAAAAAATCACTACTCAAAAATTAACGACGGACAATTTATGTAGTTAAACTGTAAAATTCATTGTTAATTTTATTTAACGGCGGATTATTGGTTAATTTTTTAAAAGGAATAAGGGTGGATATAAGTGGAAAGGAAACACTACGATAATCACAAACACTAAAAATTATGATAAAACTAAGATGTTTGAGAAGCGAAGAGTTTTTATTATAATTAATCCTAAAAGATCAATTACTTTATAATTACTATATGTTGTTAATTGTTACTTGTTAGCCTTTACTCATTAGCATTGATATTCAAGATAGGCATGATAATCCTAGAAGATATTTCAATACAAAATAAAATAAAATAAAAGTAACTCCTGACTCCCTTTATATTATTTTAATAACCGTTAAGTATATGGAAAAATATTGGAAAGTAATTAACTTGCTGAGAGACTTGTGGAAGATAAAAAAAATCTTTAAAATAAGTTCACCTATCTTATAAAATAAGTTCACAAAAAAATTCACGTAACAATGATAATATAGGGGAGGATTCTAACTTATTCACTCAAAAAGAATTCCAGGTATAATGTCACTTTGAAACTCTTTGGAGGAGCTTTTGAAGCGTGATTATATTTGCGTAACATGTCATATTCCTCTTGTGGGCAATTCAATATGAGTTTATCAGAGTTTAGGAAATTCTATGAACACTCAAAAATTTAGGTATAAAACTTGTAAAACGATGATAGATTAGAAGGAACGAATAAAACATAAGAGTTGAAAAAACAAAAACAAAAAACGTCAACAGCAGGATTCGAACCTGCGCAGGCAAAGCCCAACAGATTTCGAGTCTGTCTCCTTAACCACTCGGACATATTGACGCTGCTTGTGTAATCCTCCATCGTAAACTTATTTATATTTTATGTGCTCAACAATGAGTATCATAGAAATAGCAATTGGACAGGTCATAGTGAGTTAAGACAACAATCGGGTCAAGATTCAACCCAATCCAAATTTGTTTTGGTCAAAATGGGTTAGGTAGTGGGTAACATTACGGGTCAAGACCCAACCCGACTCAATTTTTACTAAGCTTAATTGTTTTATTTGTTCTTTTAAAACTATTTTAGTACCTAATAAATTATTTTTTCTTTTATTATGGCTATATACAACATATCAAATTGAAAAAAACAAATTTTTAAAAAAAATTAACAAAATTTTTCATGAGTCAATTCTGGTTATATATTGATCCGCCCAACCTTAAATGGATTGGACGGGTTGAGTTTGATTTTGCCACCCCTAGTTTTACATCACTCACCAACTACATCATTCTTTTACTTTTAACGGAAAACAAAGAATTATTGGGGGGGAAAAGACCCGTTGAAAATTACTTTTAGTTATTGAAGTTATTTTTTTAGCACAATAAATTGTTTAGATTCAGGACGAATTTGAGTTTAATATTTTTATTAGGTTGATGAGATATTTTAGCCTTTTTGAATTGCAGATTTTCTGCACATTGTGTTCAAATTGATTATTTATAGCTCTCTTTTATGCTTGATAAAAATATTGAGAGACAATTTTCAATCAATACTTTCACACTTTTTTGATGCACTATCCTTTCTTAAATAAAAAAAAAAAACAATGGTATCAACTATCAAGAGTCTCTTTTTTTGGTTTTTCATCCGGTGTCTGGAGCCCACATTGGAGCTCCGACTAAATCCGGATCGAGCAATGCAGGGCCCATTCGGGGATGGCGCTCCCAACAAGATTTTCTCCATACCCAAGGCTCGAACTCGAGACCTCTGGTTAAGGGTGACACACTCCCACTAGTGCACCACAACCCATGTCGGTAACTATCAAGAGTCTCATTAGCCTTACAAGATTTATGAGTTCATCTAAAAAACTATTTTTTAATTCGTACTTATTTTCAACGTACATGACTTTTTTCAATCAATATCGATTTTAACTATTTTCAAGTATGTCAAGCAATAGTCCCTCTTTAAATACCCGACAAATTTTCACTAGTAAAAAAATATCAAAACTGATCCGTGAAAATAAAATCATATTTGAAACCTATTTATATTGTGATAGAATAAAAGTTCTTACAGCAACAACTTACAAATTCTATTTTTGTCCAGCTACACTTCCAAATGAGCCTTCAAACAAGACGAAATTATTAAGGATATTTTCTAAGGACAAAATCAGAAAAAGAAAAACAATGAAGTATCAATATAGAAAAATGTGCAAATTCAAAAACAATAAAAAGAATTTAGCAGCAACTAAGATATGTTATGTTGGACTGTATATTGGTGCAAATTTCTTTTTTAAATTTTCCATTAGGAGTGTGAAGGGGGGGATACTATTTCTCAAATTCCAGACTACTGTCTTCACTTAAAGATCTAATTATTATTTTTGAACAAAACAACTTATAACAAGATTACTTTTTAACTTAAATTATTGAAACACTATGCTTACTTTTCATTTCTTTGAATGAAGAATAAAGAAGAAGAACGAAACGAAGTGAAAGGCCGATATAAATTCATTTTAGTGTTCCAAGTTTTTAACAAGGTAAAGTTGAATATAACCCCACATCTAGTCCTGAGCTGCAGCTGGTTAATTTTGCCTCAATAATTAGGATGCAGCAGTGGCTGAAAGACGGTCCCACTTGGGAAATGTATTACACTAGACAAAAGAAGACTTGCAAAACCATCGACCCCAGCCATTCCGTCTAACGTAAAAATATTTGATTGGACACAGAGTTTAAGATGTAAGTCAATCTGTATATTACGTTAGTTTTGTACTGTAGAAGAAAATATCAAAATGGTTCAAAATTTAGTTGATGGAGAAATCATATAAAAGTTCTAAATTTTTTGAATAATCTTAGTTAATTCTAAACCTTGAAAGCTATGAAATGGTGTCAAACAAGAAAAATCAAATAATGGAGTAGCACCTTAACATATGCACAAGTCAATAAGTAAAGCAGCCAGTTGAAGAACAATACTCCATTTCAGACATCAACTTGGTTTTAGAAAGAATTGGCAAGGAACTTGAAACTCACCTATCTGTTGTAAATATTTTTTTTCCATATGGCCACAGTTTTGCTGCTTCTGACTTGGTAGCCAGAAGACTATACCGTGACTAGCTAAGCAACTGTACAGATAAATATCTACTGATATAGCAGCAGAACAGGAAAACGGAAGAGGAGTGTGGGGAGAGGGAGGAAAGGGCAGAGATAACTGGCCTCCTTGGTCTCTTTAGATACTACAGCATGTAGTTAAACATTACAAGCTCAAAACTGACAGCATTCAAGTGGTTGGTCCGATAAATATTTGCAGCTGACGCTCATAACTGTTCACTAAATTTCCCCTGCATTAGAAAAGATTGCATAAATTGTCAAACAGCTAATACCAAAACTTGTGACAAAGGGAAGAACAACATCATGAAAAAGTCATTCTGTTTTCAGTTGGTACTTGCTATTTAGTTGTCCAAGTTTCTTATAAATGTCTTACAGAATTAAGAGAAGTCTTGTTACTCTGAATTTTGGAGTCAAACAAGAATGCAGTAATGAATTTAGATGCTATATTTTCTCCTGAGCGCTAATATAAATGAGGCCACTCTCTCAATACTTTCTGCCTGATGTTACCAAAGATCGTTGAATCAAATTTCACAGAGCTCAATTCAGATCTTAGCAAGCACATTTCTTTTTGTATGACATCATTTGCTCCCTTAAAGAGTCCACACAATATCTTTGTTCTAAGAATAGCAATTTCAGTGTGAGCCCCAAAAACATTTAGCCATGCTCCAATGTTCAATTACATGTTCTTTTCAATGCCGTTATATTCTTCCTTCATTATCACATAACGCAGTATGGTGCACAGCATAAGACAGACTTTGCTATGGACGGCAATAGGGAATGGCAGGGTTTGATTTTACCTTTCAAGAGATGATCTCTCCTTGTCACACCCTCACCTCACATGCCACACAGGTAAAACCCTCCCTATACACACTAACCCAATTGATTCAACTTCCTTTCTATATTAATTTACCTATTTGTCTGGATCTCCCAACCTATGTTCAATTTATCTTTTTTCTTTCCTCACATCTTTCCTTTAGCTGTTAGGAAGACTCTCTCTAGTCTCCTTCCCTTTCCTACATTCAACCTCTTCTGTACTCTGACTCAATTTAGTTTCATCAATTAAATAATTGTTCATAGTAGTTGACATAAATGGTTAAATCATTGCAGTTGACGTAAATGGTTACCTCTTCACAATAGTTGACATAAATGATTACATCAATTAAAAATGAAATATATGCAGCTGATTCGATTATTTAACATTTGCTCCAAACTGAAGCATGAGCAAGTTGAGAAGTATTAGTTTCCTCTACAACTCTATAGTATCAAACGGCCACCGGAACGTTTTACAGATGAGAAAGTATTCAGTGTCATAAAAGTTAATGCTGAGGATAAGGGCCCTGGGACCTGACAAATATACCATAGCTTTTTACCAGAGATGTTGGTCCTTCAAAAAAGAGACATAATGGACACCTTTGAATATTTCTAAATAGAAGGAACATTTATGAATAACCTAAATGTTACCTTCATAACACTCTTCCCTAAAAAGAATGGAGATATTTAGTCAGAAGACTTTTGATCTATCAGTCCTTTGAGCAGCATATACAAAACTATTGCAGTATATTCAATGAAGGATGAAAGTGGTGACCAGGAAACGAATCACTGAATATCAAAATGCATTTTGCAGGGGAGGCAGATTATGGAAGCAGCACTAGGTGCCAATGAATGTTTGGTTACTAGGCAAAAGCACAGGGAAACAGGAGTCATTTGCGAACTAGACCTGGAGAAAGCATATGACAGTGTTTATTGGACCTTTTTGCTAAATTTCATGACAGCTCTGAAATTTGGAGATGACTGGTTCCAATGATTGATAGCACTAGACTCAGGTTCTCAATCCTAATCAATGGGGCTCCTATAGACTACTTCTGGCTACAAAGAGGATTAAGGCAAGGGCACCCTTTACCTTCATTCCTCTTTTCTTGGTAGAATGATCAGTAGTCAGGTAAAAAAGGAAATTGATCAATGACCTTTAATTGGTACTGAAAGACAGAACATGATTGAGGTATCACACATGCTATATGCAGATGATACCGTGGTATTCTCTGGTGCAGAGGATCACAACTTAGGTACTTGAAAATAATTATGTTAAATTTCGAAGCTGTTTCTGAGTTACATGTCAATTTAGCACAGAGCAGTTCTTCTGTGTTAACAACGTGAGTAACATGGAGTCATTAGAAAGTACACTGGGACATAAAAGTGGAAAATATTCCTCCTATGTACTTGAGGGTCTTCTCCTTGGAGCTGAACATAATCACAGACAGACTGGTGTATGACAGAATGTGATGGCAAATGAGAAAAAAAGGATGGCTTCATGGGAAACGCAATATCTTTATTTTGGGGATAGACTCGCCCTCATAAATAGTGCATTCGATGGGACTGCAACTTATTATATGTCATGGCATTCATTATCTCAAAAGGCAGGGAAGCAACTGGATATAATATAATAAGAAGGGACTTCAAGGAAAGTGTTCCAAGAGCCATAGATTACACTTAGTGAGATGGTGAAAGGCTACACACTCTTAAAAGTGGGGAGGGCTGAGAATAAGAGACCTGAGGAAGCATAACAAAAACTTACTCTTCAAATTGCTATGGGAATTCAATGGGGAAGAACCGGCTTTGTGTAAAAAAGTTATCATCACAACGTTGGATGGGCCATGGTGCAATAAACAAACAGCTGGGCCATATGGTGTATCTCTAGGGAAGAACATTAATAGACACCAGAAGAATTTCAAATATTAATAGAGATTGTAGTAGGTGATGGAAAAAAAAAACTGAACATGGATTGACCAGTGGTCAGATCATGAGGCAGGCCTTCCCTAAAGTTTTTGGCAAAGTTCTTAACTAAGAGGCAACTATTGCATTCTGGAGTAGTGAAGGATGAAATTTAGGGCTAAGGAGGAATTGTTTTTTGAATGGGAAGTAAAGACTACTCATATCAGAATGCATACATCTCAGCCAGATAAACCAGATTCTGTAGTCTGGAAAGGAGATAAGAGAGGCAATTCACTGTTACATGGTACTTGTTGTTGGTGGGAGGTATCCCATGGAATTAGTCGAGGTGCGCACAAGTTGGCCCGGACACGACAGTTATCAATAAAATAAAATAATAATATTGATACATTTCTTTAATTTTAACATTTATGAATTACTCTTAGGGTGTGATTGGTAGGAAGGAAAATGTTTACGTGGAAAATGTTATTTTTGAAACAAAAGTGATTTTCTTATTTATTATTTGGTGTTTGGTAAGTAAGCAAAAAATAGTCTCAAGAGTATTTCAAGAGTGATCTAGAAAAACATTTGTGGTGGGATGGGGTGAGGCGTGGGGGGTCGGGGGTGTGGGGTGCTCAAAGGGTGACGGCGATTGGGGAAGAGACAACGTGCTTGGAATGTCACTTACCACTAGGGAAGTCATTTTCCTAATTTTTAAGAAACTTGTTTCCCAAAGAACTGCTTTCCAAAAAATTTGGCCAACCAAACATGGAAAATTAGAAAACATTTTTTTTCCTCCATAACAAATGCACCCTTAATGGAATGCTCTTATATGAATTGTAATAATACAAAGAAGCCAATTAGAAATCGCTACTACTTTTGGTATATTATATTTATATTTAGCTTATGTGAGAAAAGTATTTCTTTCTTCCTTAAACTCTACATCTAGTCAAATGCCGCCATAGAAAATGAAATGGATACAATACTAATTATATTGTGTGTAATATATTTAAACACAAAAAACATGTGAATTACATAAAAATTAATCAGTCATTTCAGAACTCGGGCAAAAGAAAAAGAAATAAAAAATGTAAGACCACAAACTTATATGTGCAACAAGAAGGAATACAGTCAACCAAATTGGAAGGGCATTAATGGAACCAAACGAGTATGCAGCAGAGCACCACCCATGACACCGAAAAATCAATCTACTCCCCCCCCACCCCATGCAGTGCCACTTGACATTCCTCCATCCATGCCCCACATCCTCCAAAGTGGGCTAGGTCTTGCTTCACCCTGCCTTGACACCCTCGCTCATTGCCATCCCTACTCTTGGTGAGTGAAGTTCATAGTGAAATTTAGGTAGCAAAGAAGCAGCCTTTTGGATCTAAGGCTTCAGAGGATAATTTAGGTAGCAAAAAAGCAGGTGCTGTTCTAAGCAGCTCAATTTCTTGCTATGCATATCATATGGCAGGAAAGAAAAAAAACACTCAGAATCAAGGAGAATGAGGACTGAATATCAGTAGACTGGTATAGAAAAAGTTATTACCTATAATTTTCCTAATACCAAGGATAAGTGGCAATTGTGACTTAACTTGGAGATTTTTCAGTATGTGATTTCATAAACTACGTAAGAATGACGATGATTATGACATTGTCACTAATATATAAAAATCACCGGAAAAAACAGCAAACTGAAGTGTATTTGGAGAAGCAAAAGGTAAATTTTCAATTAAAGATTGCTACGAAACCTAAGGGAACTTCTTCCACCATTCTCCACTGACCTTGGAAGTGTATTTGGAGAAATAAGGCACTTTTGAAGGTGGAATGCTTTACTTGGATAGTGTGTTTGAGAGCATAGGTAACTCATTAGAATCTTCAAAAAGAGGTGTCAATATACGCAGATGCACATTGTGTGGAAGACAAAATGAGGACATATATCACCTCTTCATCCACTGCTCATTCACCAAGTAAACCTGGGACCTCATCCTGAACATTGTGGGAAACAATTGGACTATGCCTAGGACAACGAAGGAGCTGCTGCAAGCCTGCAACATTGATACATTAAAGGGATGGAAAAGGAAAAATTGAAAATTTGGAACTCAATATGTTCAGCTGTTTGGTGGACCAATAAGAAGGAAACGAATGCAAGAAATTTTTAAAGCAAGCTGAATCTGTAGTTAGAATTAAATACAGATTATCTCATTACTTTTTTTTTTTTTGGAGGAGATGGAGGGTAACATATCTATTGCACATGATACAGAGGCCATGATAGACTTTTTGAACTCTTTACAAATTCAGCATGATGTTTCCTCTGTAAATATTCAACAGCATCTTCATGTTGCTGGATTCTCTATAACATAATCTTTTAATGATCAAAAAGAAATAGCAGCAACTTGAACAGACCGTGGGAGAGGGGGAAGTGGAAGAAAGGAATTATTTATCCTAGCATGACAAGCACACACCTCATAAAAGAAAATATACAACACAGATGAATAACAACTGGAAAAATGTCCAAATTGTTTTTAATAAAAGCTGGCCCCCAACGCCTAGCTCAAGTGGCAAAAGGTGGAGGATTTGTGGCTTAGGTCGCAGGTTCAAGCCCCACACCATGCAAAGCGAAGCCCAGTATTTAAGTGGAGAAGGGTAGAGGGGCGGGCACATTATCCACCGAGTTTAGAAGGCTGTGATTGGTCAGGTCACAGACGGATTTCTCGGTTTTCAAAAAAAAAAAAAAAACTGGAAACAAGAAAAATGAAAGTAAAGAAAAAGG